CACTCAGCTGTGTCACTGAGGACTGCATTGTCATGGGAGCCATAATGGTGGGAAGATGCCACATAGTTCAGCCAGGTATGGGAAGAGTCACTGAATAAGAAGACTTAAGACATTGGCTGGCAGGTAGGAAAGTGTCTTGCTAGACATCATTTTTTTTCTTTCTTTTTTTTCCTTCACCCAAAGATAATGTTTTTATTTTATTTTTTAAATATTCTTATATGTTTTTATTTATTTCAGAGAAGTGACCTCCTGGTTCATAGATCGACACTCAACCCTGAGCCACACTGCCGGGCTGTTTTCATTTATTTTAGAGAGAGAGAGGGAAACACACGCCCGGACAGGGAATCTAACCCAAAACTTAGCTATGTGCCCTGACCAGGATTCAAACCCACAACCTGTTGGTGTACGAGACAATGCTCTAACCCATGGTCGGCAAACCGCGACTCACGAGCCACATGCGGCTCTTTGGCCCCTTGAGTCTGGGTAGAAAGGGAGAGGGAGATATAGAAACATCAATGAGACAGGATCATTTTAATTAGCTGCCTCCTGCATGCTCCCTACTGGGGATCAAACTTGCAACCCAAGCATGTGAATCAAACCATGATCTCCTGGTTTATAGATTGACACTCACTTTTTAGTTTATGAGCCACACTACTGGGCTGTTTTTATTTATTTGAGAGAGAGAGAAAAACACATGCCCAGACAGGGAATCTAACCCAAAACTTAGCTATATGCCCTGACCAGCATTCAAACCCACAACCTGTTGGTGTATGGGACAATGCTCTAACCCATGGTCGGCAGGTTCGTGAGCCACATGGGGCTCTTTGGCTCCTTGAGTATGGCTCTTCCACAAAATACCACATGCAGGCACGCATGTACAAGGCGATTGAAACTTCATGGCCCATGCGCAGAAGTCGGTATTTTGTGGAAGAGCAAGTATTTTGTGGAAGAGCCACACTCAAGGGGCCAAAGAGCCGCATGTGGCTCATGAGCCACAGTTTGCCGACCACTGCTAACCAACTGAGCTCGCTAGACATTACTTTCTGATTCACAAATTTCTTTATGGCTCATCTACACCCACACACACACACTTACACACACACACACAAACTAGACTGCAAAATTTAAACGTTTAGCTGTGAACAATAACCTTATTTATTTTATGTTCTTTTAACAATTTAGCAAGTGCTTTCATATCTCATTTCTCTTTATCCTCACAACAACTCTGGAAGGTATACATAGCAGGCAGCCTTGGTATCTCTGTTCTCCTAAAGGAATTGTAGAGTTAAAGGCTGAAATAACTTCCCAACTTAAAACAGCTATCAATTGGTTAAGACGGGATTAGATCCCATGTCTTCTTACTCTTAGTCACACACACACACACACACTCACAAACTAGACTACAAAATGTGAACATTTAGCTGTGAACAATAACCTTATTTATTTTACCTTCTTTTAACAATTTAGCAAGTGCTTTCATGTCTCATTTCTCTTTATCCTCACAACAACCCCGGGAGGTATACATAGCAGGCAGCCTTGGGATCTCTGTTCTCCTAAAGGATTTGTAGAGTTAAAGGCTGAAATACCTTCCCAACTTCACACAGCTATCAATTGGTTAAGACGGGACTAGATCCCATGTCTTCTTACTTTTAGTTAAGTACTCCTTTGCATGATGCACCAAATAAGGCTGCCTGAGAAACATATCCCACCATCCACTACCAAAACTCAGCATCTGAATGGAGACCAGGCTACAGGAGCTAAAAATGCTACATAAAATAGGGTTCTCCCCAGTGAGTAAACAGCAATCAAACGGAAAATTGACTGCTTCCCTTCTGACCTGCTAATCTGAAGTCAGTCTGCCCATTAATTCTTTTCACCTTTTACACTCCCAGGAAGAGGGGGAGCAGGGGGAGCCAGGCTGGTGCTGGGGACGGAGGATGGGGCGGTTGGGAAGGAAGATTATGGAAGTACTTGGTGAGGGCGGGGAGCAAGGGTTGGGTAGGTAGAGCCTACAGAATCAAAGCCAATGTTTCTCAATCTCTATTTTACTGCCTCTCAGAGGGGCAATAGAATTTTTTTCTCTAATGATCTCTTTATGAAATTTTAAAACCACAGAGAGACAATGTATCTTTTTTATGTACAGTATGTATATCAGAGCTTTACACATAAAAAGGAAAAGGTTTTTTTCACCCCCTTGGGGGCAGTATTGCCCCCCTTAAGAATACATAAACTAGCCCTAACCAGTTTGGCTCAGTGGATAGAGCATCCATCTGCAGACTGAAGGGTCCCAGGTTTGATTCCTGTCAAGGGCATGTACCTGGGTTGCGGGCACATCCTCAGTAGGGAGTGTGCAGGAGGCAGCTGAATCGATGTTTCTCTTTCATTGATGTTTCTAACTCTCTATCCCTCTCCCTTCCCCTGTGTATAAAATCAATAAAATAGATTTTTTTTAAATCCTGTATAATGGAGCTAATATGCAAATTGTCATCACACTGTAATTGATGTTTCTCTCTCATTGATGTTTCTAACTCTCTATCCCTCTCCCTTCCTCTCTGTAAAAAAATCAATAAAATATATTTTAAAAAAAGAATACATAAACTAGATGACATCACTACTCAAAGCATCCCCTGTGAGTTCACCTGCATGAAACCGACCCGAGGCACCGGTAGGTGTCTATTCTCGTTCTGACAAGGGAACAGTAGGAAGCAATGGCTCTGGAAGGAAGGCAAGCGGGCAACCCGAACGTGCACGTCAAGTCCCACTCAGGCTTACTGAGCTTTTAAGAACCTTATAAAATCTTGGCTGCAGATCTTATATTCGATCAATACATTCCGGAAAACACTAAATTAGAAGTAAACTAATAAATTTCAAATATCTGTGTTTGACGTATATTAGCGTATATGCATATGTGACTGTACACGTGACTGAGAAAAAGAATCTGGTACCTAATATCTGGGAATAATGCAAATTGCCAGAAATGAGCTTCATCTTTGGTTCCTGTCATTCTCAGTTAATGAGAAAAGGGAAGATCTATTCGCAAGGTGGCTTCCATCAGCCCAGGTGTCTTTTTCCTTTAAGGTTTCATGCCAGCGTTTTACTTTCAGGGGTGACAATCGGGGCGGGCTACAGCCTCGCCCAGCTGAATGATGCCTTAGCTTTTATTGTTTCGGAGCAACCAAAGGAGAAGACTAAGACCTACCGTGCCCTCCGGACGCACCTGAGGACGCTTGCCGGAGTCCAGATCAGGAGTATGGCGGTAGGTTCTCTAGTGTCATAGGAAATGAGCTGAGGGTACAGTCAGCCATACAGTTCTGTTCAGCCATACAGAGCAAACATCACTCTGAAGAGGAAACCCAACAAGTCAGTGTTGAATAAATCTCTGCAACATGAGTGTGTGTGTGTGTGTGTGTGTGTGTGTGCGCGCGCGCTCGTGTGTGCGTGCATGCTCGAGAAGGTCACATTGTGTGCATGTGTGTGCCCAGAGTGAGAAGCAGCATATTATATAACAAGATTATGCTTCTGGAATCTGAAGGGGCCCATTGATTCTCTTTCATCATTGATGTTTCTCGCTCTCTCTCCCTCTCCCTTCCTCTCTGAAGTCAATAAAATATATTTTAAAAAATAAAATAAAAATTAAGGTTCAACCCAATGGACTGTCTCTAAGATCCTGTCTGGCTCTAACAGACTGTGAAAGGTGTCTTACCCAAGGTTTAGTAAACAAGAGCCTGCCTTTCTGAAATACTCTTTTATGGATGGTTCTCCTCTTAGAGCTTTGCGATGAGGTCAGTTTCCAAACATGTGTATCCCAAATGTCAATTCTTGGACATCCCCAGTTATCTAGTTTATCAAGGTTTCCTATTATCTAAGATTTAAGAGAAATTTTGTTCAAACCACTACCCATTCCACACATGGTGAGTAGTTCAGTGGGGCTGAGCGGGGGACACATTTTTCCTAGTTGTCTCTGGCTCCATTTCTGTTGATTCTCAAAATCCACCATATGTTTTCACCTTGGCCATCTTCTATCCCTTTTTCTGGACCATGTCTTCCTCTCACAGTCTTGCCTTCTTAGCTCCCTTCAAATGGCCTCCTTATTGACAGTTTGGGCACAGCAGCACCGCAAACATTTAGAAAATTAGTTCCATTTCCCGGTTCTTTAGAGTTTCCTCAGGCTGCAGTCTGCATCTTCCCTTGTGTTACAGAACACTCACTCTAGGGCCAGTTCTCAAAGACAGCTGTCTCCTCGTTACACATGGGAAAGGAATATTTTCTCAGGCAATGAGTCTGAATGGAGTCAGGGGTGGGAACCTTGCCCCGTATGTTGTCTGAATCTACTTCACTGCCCCAAAACTCTGCCAGATCTTTCTACGAAGCAGAGAATTAAAAGCTTACACAAGATCCCTGCATGCATAATTGCTTATCTGTTAAATAGCTAAGGAAATTTCCTGT